AAATTGCTTTACTGTTATCTCTGTGTATGTTTTTTTCCTGTGTAGTATGTTTTATACCCATGTGAACACGAGGCTATTTTTGCTGTTATGATGTGAGTGACTCCACAATTTCAGATTTTAATCTAGTTCCTGCAGAAGGCCTAACTGCGATTTTTGGTTCCAATAAAAAAATAGATATAAGCTATATATTTACTGAATCATATCTTATTTCGTTACGTAGCACTTATTGCGATTAACTGCGTTACTTAAATCGATTACTTCACTACTTATGTAAATGTAAAAACAGTCTTAGTTGACATTAATATTATAACAGGTGGCTATAAAAAAGGTATAAGAAATAAACCTTATTTCGAACACAATTATATATCCATATACATACCATATTAAAACACGCCCAACCTTTATTTTCTACCCAATAACAGACAATATTTACAAACATACCAAAGAGATTGTACAATACAAAACGTACCGTTTAAATCAAAGTGTCTGTTTGTTAGAAATTAACATCACCATGTGAAATATTTGACCAATCAGAGAAAACTAAAACCCTATTTTTCTCGAGCTTACTTTTGAGAAAATTTTGTTATAAAAACCCACAGATCCCAAATCCAAGCCCACTCTAACACAAGAGAAGACTTGGTTATACAGTTTTTTTCCTTTCCTCTACAGTGTACCGAAAGCAACATGTGTCTGCTACTTTAAATTAATCATCTCCAACAACAACAACAACAACAACAACAACAGGGGCGGTCAGTGAATCTTCACTGACGATTAAAGTATTTTCCCAACTACAGATTTTGACTGTAGACTAACTACTCAAAAGTTTTTAACTCGATTAAAGGCTATTTTTACTCATTTTGACTCTTTTGAATTCATGTACACATGTTTGTACAAATGATTTATTTAACAGTCATACCCGTGTTTTCTTTGTTTTTATTTTATTATTGTTTGGAATTCAGACTTTCGAATTTTTAATATAAAAAAACTAAACGACAGAATTTCCTACAAACCTCCTGATGGCTTTACACACATGGCCTTTAATCTTGCCAGACGCCGCTTTCACACAAATGTTAACAACTCGACATTAGAACATTTCCGAAACCACGAAACAACACAACACTGAAACAACAATGGCCACAGAATTAAACACCGGTCTTACAGAAGCCGCATTGACTTTAAATCTGCCTGTATACAACACTAGAAATGTATGTACAAACTTGGTCCTCTCTACTACAGGCAATTTTCAATGCCAATCTGATCACGTCACAACATACTAAATACGCATATGTGGTGGAGAAGCTTCCCCACGACTTTTCAAAAGAGATGGTCGATTTACTGGAATATATGACAGGGGAGAAGTCGTATGGCACATTAAAGAATACCATCATCATGCGCACAGATGAATCCAAAAGGCTTCCAGACGACTTGTTTAACAAGTTAAGTCCCGGCGATATGAAACCTTCACAGCTATCCCGAAAAATGAAAGCTCTTCTAGGAACAAACTCCATATGCAACACCGTCCTTAAGCATTTGTGGGGCGATAAACTTCACACACATAAAAAAGGATACTCGCCTGGAGATATGAACTTAGACCGAAGTGACAGGATACACGATGGCGACCCGAATAAATGTGTGTACTTCACAACACCAGACAGTACGCCAACGGATGAATATTCTAACAAAATGTTACACATTGAAACAAATATGGTGCTGTTAACGATTCAGCACCAAGACATGAGTAGCCAGAATTTCCCTCGTTCCCAAGCAGATTTCAGGGAACGGTCAAAGTCACCATGTAAAAGCAGGACATAGTCGAATTTTTCTTGGTATACCTGTTGGTATCACTATAAATATGGGCATGAAGCTCAAAAATGCGTAGAACACTACACGTTCTATAGGAGACATCCCAGCACCGAAAAAAAAAACAGGGAAGCAACACAAAAGTCGTCTATTCTACATCCTGGATGACAATACCGGATATCTATTCTTAGTTGACACCAGCGCACAAATCAACGTTATTTCACCTGACTCTAAACAGAGACTCATCCCATCATCATCTACCCCAAAGTAGCAAATGGATCTAAAATCCAAACTTATGGAGAAAAATCCTTAACATCAATTTTGGGTTTACGACGTTCTTTTCCCTGGATCTTTGCACAAGTTCAAGTAAAATAATTTTCCCTTGTGAGATTTTTTTTTATCCCATTTCCACTTTCCAGTGGACATGACCACACACTCCTCCATTGACAACGATACAAAGTTGACAACAAAAGGAATTAGTTCTGCTAGACCAACAGATATTGCCTTACATGAGTTGATAGAGAAATTCCCTACTATAAGCATTCCTTTCAAACATACGGATGACATTCCTAACTCCGCAAAACATTATATAAAAACATTTGGACCTCCGACCCATGCATCACCGCGCATATTGCGCCATGACAAATATAAAATAGCAAAGGACACATGGCCCAGTGGATAAAAGCGTTGATTGGATCCAGTGAATCGACTCAAAGAGTTGTGGGTTTAATATCTGGATACAACAGTGGCGAACAAAAAACTTGAGTTAAAGGTAGATAACTTAGACATCCAGAAAAGGCATGGCACATGGAATTAGAACAATCTACCTCGGTGAACGAAATAAATGGTTCAGTTCGAAATTTCAGTCACCTGAAGAAGGCCGGGACGTACAACAGCCGAAACGTCGTGAATAGGTCAATAAAGATGAGGACAACAACCGAACAATGTAAATAATGTAAGTCGTCCATGTACTTACGCGCAAATACCCTTGGAAAAGTTATTAATTCATTTCTTATCCTCCCAAATAAAAGGTTATCCCGACAAATCACTGTTATTCCCCAAAAATAATTAATGCAATATTCACTCGCAGAAAAAAAAATTAAAAAAAACAAAACAAAACAAAAAACAACGAATTATCTAAACTATGTTTCCGTTTTAAGTAACCAACAAAGAGTTGATAAACTATAAAAAAATCAATAAACTATGTAGAATCATTGATTAATGAACCTATTAGATATCTAACAACCATGTATCATCTCATTTGATCAGGATTTTAATGCAATACAGAACAATAATTGCGAAAAGTAGTCTCCTTGCAATATCGATCTGTAAGTTGCTACGTTTGATTTCATCCTTAAGATGGTTGGGGATTACTTTTTCACTTTTTCAAACGGGATTTTAAAAGATAATGAGAAAGGGAAAAAAATCGTTAATTTCAATGTACTTATGATGCAATCATGAGGAACACTATCAATTGCTTTTGTTATTAGTTTATCCACTCTACTTAGTTCTCTATTTTTTTAAATTAGTTTTTCAGTAACATCTTGTCGATCAGTTGATCTTTTCAACCATAGGGACATTTCTTGAATCCTTTTTACTCTTCAAATACAGTACTATTTCTGTTATACTATTTCTGCCACCTGCGCACTTCCAATGACGTCAGACATCTGCAAGGCGTCTTTCAAGGTAGAAAGATTCCCTGGAAATAAAGCTTAGCGAACTAACTATAAAAGACGTAATTTTAGCTGATGCTTTGGATATTTCTTCAATTTGCACTACCAAGTCTATTATTGTTATTATTATTTCAACTTTATATCACATATTGTCTCTAAAAACCAAGTTATTTCAAGTCTCCTCAAATTCCCAGTATTCCCAAGACTGTTCCAAACACGTTTTATTATATTTTCTATTTGGGTTCTTATAACAGTATTATCTAGTGGCTTTCACTGAAGATCAAATAATAGGAAATATATCCAATATTCCTGAACCTTCCTCAGTATTCTAGCTGATTTTAATAATGTTCTCATCGGAATGTTTTTAGTTCTTATTCAGATTTCTAATTCTTTCAATCTTTTTTTCGAGGCTTTTCAAAGCTATTCCAAGTACTCCAGTAATGAGGGATACAAATATCAATTTCATATTCTACAATTTTTTCCACTTCTTTGGTTACCTATTATTATTATTATTATTATTATTATTATTATTATTGTTTCCTTTGATTTCTATTGCATACACATTTCCTTACGGGATCCAACCTGAGACCTCAGTTCAGAAATATCATCATGGCTTTTTCCACTGATCATTTAAAAAAAAATTAAAAGAAAGAGAACATAATTTACATAGATAAAGCTCTTCGTAATGTGTGACCTGCACTTGTGAATACAAATTTTTGTACTTCTTTAAGGCATGGTCTACCAGGAATCCCATCAATGACTCTATCGGAATCTTTTCCAATCAATCCGAGAGCTCCAACTACAGCTGGAATTATTGATGTCTTCATGCGCTACATTTTTGAGATTTCCACTTCAAGATCCTTGTATTTTGATAAATTTTTGAAGATCTTTAAAAATGCATTACAGTCTGCGGGAACTACCATGTCAATAAGAAAGCGCATTCTGTGTTTTGCATTTGCTCATTATTGTTACTATTGGAGATTAATATACAGTCTCCATAAATCTGCAGGACCTTACTCAGTATACACGCAAACTACAAATACTTCAGTGATCTGTACAGTTACAGTACTTGAATTTATAATTCATTTAATTGACTTTTTCATATTTTGAGTAGGTTTCAAAATGCTACAACTATTATGGGGATATCTCTAAAGATGCTTTTCATTGTTTTTTGTCTTACTTTTGTGGGTCTGCCATCATAGCCACGTCTACAATATAGCAGGTCTTATTTTCTTTGTTTACGATAATCGAATTCGATGTTTTGGGCTTGGATTGTGATTTCGAATATCAACTAGAAATCCCATATGAACATTTCATTCCATAAGACAATATCTGGTTCGCGATAATACCATTGGTTTAAGTAGTCGATTCAAAATCATTTGCAGAGTTCTCAATATATGTGTCCCTACCCAGTCATGTCTATCTTTTAAATGCAGCTCAATTGCTGCATTCACTTAAGATGTGGTTTCATGTTTCATTTGTTCTGGATTCGATTCATTTTTTTTTTTTTTTTTTTGTTCAAACAAGGTTATGCCAGCATTCACGGTGGACATACCGATTCAGACCGGGAAGAAATACTCAAGAAATGTGTTCGGTTATTACAGTCATCCAAGAGATCAATGTAGGTTTATTCAATTTTTAACATTTATATCATGTATAACCTCCTTAATTAGTCTGCTGTCATCTCTAACCTAGATTCACAAAAAGCATGTATCATTGGACATCTCGAAAAACTTTAACAGGGTTTGTCATACAGGTCTTCTCCACAAGCTGAAAAGTTACGGCGTCTCCGAATATATTTTTGAATTGATCTAAATCTTTCCTATCAAATCATGAAATGAAAATTATCCTAAACGGCCACACGTCTAGATCCTTTCGTACTAACGCGGAATAACCCCCACCTCACCCCGGGTCCATCACTAAAAAGAAACATTTGGGCATCTTTTATACAGAAATAGAATTCACTGTTTTTGTTTTGTGCTTTTGTTCTTACTACATTTCAGTCGATCAGTTCTACGGCCTTTTGTGTGTTTTCATTTTTTTAAGGACATCTCCATTCTGGATATAGGCGATCATAGCTCTTCACAGATTCCTTTACTTTTTTTACTGTGTGTGAATTGACATAACCTGGGGTGGGGAAATAGGGGAGAGGTTCTCCGTTGCCTTATTCATGATTTCGAATTCAAGGCTCGAGAGCCCAGTCTCTCCTACTATTTAATCCATAGTTGCCGGGTGGCTAGAGAAGAGACCGATTTATAATTATTCCAAGGAAAAGAGTACGAAATGAACGCAGCGATCTCGGTTCATCATTTCAATTTTCCACGCCGATAACCATTTCGATACCTTCACATGAATCCACACGGAAAGAGAAGGGTAACTTTTGTAGCGGATGAAAATTCATTCTTTGTGTTTTATCGTTAATCTAACATTTTTGCCGATTAATTCTATAGCCTTGAACAGCTATACAATCCATAAGGCAAGAGAGAAGGCGAAATAAATAGAACTCATTACTGTTGTTGCTTTTATTGTTTTCTTAAGGTTTCCGCTGATTCATTCTACAGTCTTCTTCATGTATACAGTCTATAAAAAAGAGAGGGGTCTTTTTTTGTACATAAATAGAACTCATTATTGTTGTTGCTTCTTATTGTTTCCTTAACATTTCGGCTGATTCATTCTACAACCTTCTTCAGGTATACAGTCTATAAAAAAAAAGAAGTGTATTGTACAGATGTATAGAAACTGTGGTTAATATACCAACCGGCTCGATTGTTATATATGAATCTCTCAGCATATAAGAATGTATAGCGTTGACACCTCTCTTGGAGCGGAAAGACTAGGGAAACAGTTCGCCTTTTACCGAATGATCTAAATAAGTACTGCAGACCATTTACCATTATTATGAGTTCGATTATCATTGGGTGTCTCGCGACTGCAACACTCTACCAGATCGGGCTAAGTTTATCTTTTAAAAACGCAAGTTTTGAGCACCTGCCGTATGTAATAATTAAGAAGGTAATCTAGCAGACCATTGTTAACGTAATAAGTTTGATTCTCACTAGGTGCCTCTCAAATGTGGCTTTGTTCTACACTAAGCTAAGTTTAGTAATTATATTTAATGGTCCATGTCAACCTTACTGGTTACCTTATAGGTGTGTTTTACCTACTCGACTCATCTTTTGACATAAAGCTTGTCTTGGTAGAGAACAAAGCTACATCTGAATAAAATGCAGGAAGGAAGACTGTGTTGCGCGAGTCTTCTAAATGTTATGACATACCTAACTAGAAAACTCAGCATTCGAAATGCTGACGTTTATTTGGGCCCGAACTTCAAAATACCCAATTTTTATTCTGCAGAGCAGACCCTTGATTATACAAGCTATACCGCTTTAATCCGGTAACCTTAGTACGTCGTTATTGCTGAACCACATAAAATTCCGTCAAGTAAAGTTTTTACTCCTAGATGAACTCCACACGAACGCAGACTAAATGACCAGCTCATTCCATAATCATAAATCATTGAACGGGGGGACACTTCGACGTGGTATAATGGTCAGCAAGCTTGTCTAGCTAAATCAATTACGAGTGAGTTCAATCCTCACTGGGTGCCACAGCTACGCTAAGAAAACCATTTGGACACCTTGACGTGGTGTAATGGTTAGCAAACTTGTTCTCGCTAGAATTGTTACGACTGAGAAGTTAGTTCCAATCATCACTGGGTGCTACATATTTTCGGCCTTGTGCTACATCTAAGCTACGCTAAGAAAATCACCATAGATCATTGAATGAAAGCAAAACGTAAAGTAGGAACTATTACAAAATAATTTTTAACATTCAGAAAAAAATAAACATCGAAATTTCCCAAATTTAAAAATTTTTGATTCGGTTTCAAATCTCAGGTATTTACATATTTGGTTTAAGAAGTCAGTTTATAAATTGCTGAATTATGTTTCGAAATGTAGCTTAAAACCAAATCAAAGATCTTTAGTGGCCAATCTACAAACTAATGGCAGCACATTCAAAATAGATTGCCGGGCCATAGATTGCTTGGTTACATATTGCCGGATCAGAGAATAGCAACCTGTAATTTATAATCAATGTAGTTAGGATGAAAGTACATGCACATAAAATGAATTCTCTTCTTGGTTAAAAAGAAATTAAGACGTTAAACTCTTGGATTTTCATCAGATGAAATCATTATCATCCATTATAAATTGTTGACGATGATTTTCGATCTGCCCTCTTCAGTAGGCGGACGGTTTGAGTAGTTGCAATGAAATTACGAGGACAGAAATACAAGTCAAAAGTGAACAGGGAAAGTAGCACTCCTTTCTAAAATCAGACCTTTTAATATGCGTAACGCCTACGTCCAGATGTGCTGAAAACCATTTATGACATACTATACTACTGAAAAAAGTTTTCAAACAAAACCAACTTCAAACGAAAATGATTCAAATAACAGTTTGTTTGTATGCGCATTTTTTTTTTACCTCAGAGTGTAGTATCTGTCCTGATTCCTTCTAGATTTGGGACCTCCACTTTTTCGGCATAAATGAAATATATCAACAAACTAATAAATAAAATACAATGTCTTTCGTATTCAAAAGTGCCTGTATTTTATCAATGTCAGCTGCAGATATTAGTGGAAGCTATGACTGTCCACTTTAAGCATGGTGGGTAGGTACTGTTCAGGATGAGATCTCAAGTGTCAGTGAGTCATTTTATATTGATAGTGAGCGACAAAGCCAGTGGAATCTTGCATGAAAAGTGCCCAAGTGCACGAGAATGGATCAATAAGTCCATAGCACAATAAAATTATTAACTGAATATTGATTTGAAATTGTTGCTGTATATTATTCCATCAATGTGATTGCTAAAGAGGCATTGGGTGAAATGCATTGACAGAGAGGGACATTAGGTAAAAAAAAAATATTTTGCAATATAAATGCTTTTGCCATCATTAACTTACTGATATACCAAGATAAAAAATATGCGAGCAGATAAAGAAGGATATCGCAGACATCAGGGACTGCTGTAGCTATCTTCTTTGAACAACAGAGTAATGCTGCCTGCAGCACCAATCATACAGTAAATGTTAGACAAAATAAGAGTCCACCATACATGAAGAATGAAGATGAAAACGGAATTGCTAAAAGTTAAATCTTTAGAAAGACGAATAATCTGTACTAATATTTTGTTTGTTTGTATGCACATTTTTTTTTACCTCAGAGTGTAGTATCTGTCTTGATTCCTTCTAGATTAGAGACGTTCCACTTTTTCGGCATAAATCTTCGATACCTAAGTTTAAAATGACTTTTTTCAAATGAAAAAACATTCTTGAAGATTTCATTTTAGCTTTAATTGAAAGTTTAATAATTAATTTATTGTTTCCATTAAGTAAACAATTCTGGTGTATTTCAGATAGAATCTATATACATTGGAATGTTAAATTTAATTTTGATTTCTTAAATTTTCTTAAAAACGGCCATTTTCTTAATTTTAAGAAATTTGTAAACAAACAAAAATTTATCGATTTTAAAAATATTTTTAAAAATTTCTGACACGTTATTTTAGTAAAATTAGAAAATTTAAAGTTAAATTAATCTGATTTGAAAGAAAAATTACTTACTTATAGCATAAAAAGTAATATACAACTAATTATTAACGATTGGTCCTGTTCATATGATGAAACGTTTGATGGATTGTTGATTGACGAAGCGATGACAGCAACTACAGATGACCATAAATGACTATAAATGACCATAAATGACAATTTTTAAAATTCTGAGTGAACGCTTTTTTTTTGTTTTACTGTTATGTTTATTTATTAGAATAAAGGGACAACACTCTTAGATCACGTGACCTTTTCATAATAATGGCAATTTCAGTCTACCATACATGGAAATAAGGAACGTATTAAGTAAAAAAATACAAAATAAAAAATTATTTTAAAACTAGAATAGCGCAACTACGTTCATTAATCTTTGAAATTTTGGATTCGTAAATTTCGTTTCCACTTAATTACTATATCACATCCAGGAAATAGCCCAATACAGATTTTTTTACACGATTTTAAACTATCATAAATTATTATAATTAAAATTTTTAAAAAAATGAAAAATTTCCTGTAAAAATTCATTATTCATCAGAAAAATTTTATTTCTTCATTAATATTAGTTACTTACAAAAGCAATTAAAAGCTTTTCTAATTAACTAATGTCATAGTTTTATTGGATTCATTATTTTTCAATTCAGAGCAGATTTTCAGTTAGATAGCTCAATTTTGAAAAAAAAAAACAACGTAGGTGATTTACAATCTCCAAAGACTCTACTTTTAACCAAAAAAACACAAAAAAATTTCAGGAAATAAAAAGGTTTTGTGCGAAATTTCATGAAATTAATTTGTTAAAAAAAAAGTATTTTTTACCAAAATCTTCTAAAAAAAAGTGTTCAAAAATAATTTCATTCATTTGTAAATAAGTCCTGAAAATTTCATTAAAATCGGACAATTACTTTATTTGTACAAGAATTTCAAAATCAATGTGTTTTCAACGGAAAAAAAGTGCAAAAAAAATAATATTATTTTCATGCCATCGCGATGACGTCAACAAAAGAATGTTAGAAAGGATTAAAAAATTTCAAAAAATAATTAAAAAATACTTTGGTCTTTCATCTTAATAATAACAAACATTTTGACGATAAAACTTTATTTTCGTGAAGTTTGTGGCCTTTTTCATTACGCTATGCTGTTTTCCCGCGAAAAAGTGGAGGTCGCTATTCTAGATTCTGACAGAGAATCTATACACTTACACTGCTTTGCTTATAAGTACTATCGTTACACTTTCTTACTTAGGATCATAGTGTAGTACTTGTCCCATTCTGATACTTCTGAATGGGAATCATTTATGTTTTCTGGCCAAGAAACATACTTTTTTGGAAACATACTTAATAATATTAATAGGGGAGAAATTGGAGAAAGCGAGGAAGAGGAGGAAATAATTTGTGAACGAAGACAGTTAAAGAGGTAAGAAAGATCGAGAAAAACGATAAGAAAACCAGGTTTACAAGAAAAAAAAACTAAATATATAAATTTAGAGAGTGGGGGAAACGAAAGCGAAGGAAAGCCAGAGAAACGGATTTGTTGATTGGATATCAAGAGACAATGAGTAAAAGATTAAAGATCAAGTAGTACTTGAAAGGTGTAAAATATTCCGATGCATTAAAATAATTAAAAACGTAAAAACAGGGAAAAGGCGGTAGAAAATATTTGTAAACTCCTCATTTGTTTTACGCATGTGAAACTAATCTGTTTTCATAACATTTTGATAAGAATTATAGACGTGTAATAGAAAAGGGATAAGGGAGATGATACAGACAAATAGTGAGATAAGAGCATTGTAATGTTAAAATTAAACATTTAGAGACATTCTGAACTTATTGAGGGAACAGTTAGTGTTAATGTAGAAATATATTTGTAATATATCTGTAGTAATCCGTTTCACATTCCTCACTATCACGTCTTTGTCCTTGAACCTTCCACCTGCCTCGTTCAAACGTATTCCTTGCGATAAAGACAAAAATCTGCCGGTTTTTTTGTATGCCTCAGTCAGTTATGCAGATTTTTTACGGCCACCTTCAGGCATTAAATTAGTCCTAAAACACTAAATAATTTACATGACCGTGTATGGCACAGGCGATTTGTGTCTCTTTCGTCGGGAAGAGAGGTGTCCATTACAACATTTATAAGAACATTTTGCTCAAACAGTTTTCCACGAAATTAACTTTCTCAAGTCAACTGGCTTTTATCGGTCTTTCTAATATTAATGGGAGTTTCCTTCTAATCCTTCTGTTTTGGTAGTGTGGAAAGAAAACAACTTGGTCCTTAGTTTTTTTTTTTATTCTACTTACATGTGCTACCCATTTTTGTGGCTGTTGGAAGTTTTTAAGTGATGTGGTTTTTGTTATTTGGTAAAGCTCTTCGTTTGTGATTGTGTAGCACTAGTATCTTGTTTTTATTATAGAATTAATTAATTTGAAGCTATTTTAACCATTGATCTGAGATAAGGTTTGTACATAACTGGTGGTTGTGACGAGGTGGACGCCATGCAAAACAACTACAGGGTGCGATGGATAAATTGTCGTCTAAATTACGCGAAAATGAAAGTAATATGGACATCACATTTTACCAAAATTACACAAAAATATCTTGAAATACTAAAGAGTAAATTTATTCAATAAAATCGCTATTGGCTTCAACCACAGCCTCCAAACGACTTCAAAATCTTCTGCAACTCTTCTGGGCGGTCTCCTTGTTTAAGTATCCTTGCCTCCAGTTCATCTTTGGTGCTACAAAGAGTTTCGTTGGTCTCCCGCTCAACTGTGTCCCACACATAATAATCAAGATGGTTGCAGTCTGGGGAGTTAGGTGGCCAAGATGTAAGGAGTGATATGGTGGCAGAAATTGGAGCTTCCGGTGCGATTGCCAAGCAGTACAGCATGTCTTTTCCAAATTTCTGGTGGAGTGAATTGCGTCATGGTGCTCTTTTTCTCACAGACGGTGCCTACCTGAGCCTTCTATACTGTGCAGTCGACAAAATCAAAAACAAACAACGCGCATGTGTGAAATTAAAAATATAAAATGGCGATAATTTACCCATCGCACCTGTGTATGAATCCGACGCATGATATCCGTAAACCTGATGAGGCAAAAACCTATTGGAATTTCAGCCGGTCGAGCTTGTAACTATAATAAACACAATCGAGATACGATACATGTTCAACTCTAGACAAACGTTTTTTGTTTTCACTGTTATTATATTTCTCATGTTTCTCGTCATCAAAACAATAACAACAAACTCTTTACTGAGGCAGAAACCAAGAAGATACGAGGAAGTCAGAGGGAACATGTGACTACAGTTTGCTTTTTTACGGATCGAATGGTGTCCATTCAAACAACAGCAAAGTGACTGCAAAAACGCGCCTGGGGACACGCCCACTTAACAAGAAGCAACCGACGACATTGGACGACGTACAAGCGCCTAAAATTCCTAATCTGGAACCAAGCGACACAGAGGAAGAGAAAGAGCTGCTCCAAACTGTCACGCATTGTAAAACAACTGTAATACAGTATCCTTTCTATTTCTCATCTGATCAATGTTCAACTGTGTTATATCATGGAAACGAACATAATTATATGAAACAAAGACACAAATATATTTAAGCTATAGAAATAACCAAACCTGAAATTTGAAAGAATGTATTCAATTGAGTGATTTAAAAATCAAGTCAAAATTTAGAAATGTTCAGGCATTTATTATTCTCATATTGTTTATATGGTTTGTTTTAAATTTCCAGACAATTATACATATAAAGACCATATTGTGTCAGTAATTAATGTAATCATTCCTGACCACTTACAATAACTTTATATTTTAGTTACTATGTTTTCTATAGTAAAATGATTGACAGCATATTTCTGTAGTATTTAACTATTATATTTCTTCAGTAACTCTTACATTCATTACTGACAATTGACAATCACTTTCTTCTGAATTTTCAATGCATTTCTATACTAAAATTGGTAGCAACACGTTTACATTATACATATAATAGCCGTATTATCTCAGTAACATTGCTTTAATTTTAGACCACTGATAATCCATTTCTTCGTGGTCTTGACTTCAAAAAAACAATAATGAAATCATAAGAAGTGAATGTATATATAATCTCTCTATTTTGTTAATAATGCTTGTTTTAACTCCTAATCACTGACTTTCAATGTACAACACACAGTGCCGAAAATCGGTAAAATAAATTTTGGCCTTTCTACAAAAAAGCACCTCTTCAAATAATTTTTTTCTTCAATTTTTTTTTATTACTATTGAATAAACTCTCCAGATTACGAATATAAAAAGATATTTTTTACATTTTAAGAGGGGTTTGAGTTTGCTATGCAAATTCATTGTAAATTGACCCCTTTCCGTAAGCCAAAATAAATAAGTAAAATAAAAGGCAGGTAAGGGAAGTAATTAATAATAAAAAAAGGGTAAGTAAAAATTATGTTTTAAATTCATATTTCGCGGAAAAGTTAAGTAATAATATGCTTTAAATAATATAAAAAACTTCATTTCTTATTTTAACTTGAAATGATTTCAAATGATTCAAATTTTTCTCACGTACTAAGAATATACTTTATCACGTGGTATGAGTGTTTTGGTTTGCACAGGAGGTCAATTTATAATTAATTTATATTACAAACTAAACCTGAATATTTGTGCGAAAATGAACACAACAAACACAACCAATTTCTTTCAGAATCGTTAACAGTTGTATTGCCTAAGCACACGTTTAATTCACCTGACTGTCATAATTATTACGTAATCATTTGAGAGAATGAAAGTGTTGATTCTGATACTGTCGGAGTGCAGCACTGTCATCCATTACTATTAAGTTTTTTTATTTGAAAATACATTCATCTAAAAACATATGGCACTAATAATGATAGCAAAATGAAGTCATGATTTTACAGGCTATATTTAATCTGAAAAGGCGACAAATTTTCATAGTTAAAATTCAACGCAGTCAGAGACAAAAGGGAACGCGGATTAGAATCTACACGACAGTTTTTTTCTTTATTTCTGTCTACTCACAGCCGTATATTGATGGCCTGGATAAAACTTGTCAAAAATAACTGCGACAACGCAAGATGTAATTAAATGCAAGTAAACATTAATAATAATAATAATGGTTGACAATGCTTTATTTAGTAAAAAATAAAGGTTAAAGTAAATACTAATAAAAAAATTAATAACAATGGTCGACAATGGTTCATTTAATAAAAGTGAAAATAAACGCTAGTCGAAAATTAATAATAACGGTTAACAAAGCTTCATCTAATAAAAAATGAAGATGAAACGAAATGATAAGTCAAAATTAATAATGATCGTTGATGATGATTCATCTAAAAAAATGAAGATGAAAGTAAAATATTATTAAGAACGGTCGAAAATTCTTCATGTAATAGTTGCCAATACTCGTCAAAAATGATCAATAACGATACAATCTCAACTGAAACTCGAACCAGGACAGATGCTTTTGCTTTGTTTTTGTTTTTTATCTGTTAACATCACCAGGCGTCACATACACATGTACATGTACTTTTTTTTTTTTTACATGTGTATATAAAGATGAGATTTTTAAAGAATTTTCGTTACTCTTCACACCTTAACTGTCAAGTTATAAATCTGGGCGCGTTGCGATTGTGCGCTTCCAAGTCGTCAGTTGCCTCGGTAACTGTAACCACCCCGCGTGCTATTCTACCTTGGTCTTCGATGACGTTCCGGGTAGCAAGGTGCTTCTCGCTTTTCAACCAGACGGTACCGGTTGTTGTCATTTTAAGAACGGTCAGATCAAGTAAGTATTTTAGATATACTGTTTAAAATTTTGAAAGATCATTCTAAGAGACTATTAAACTCATTCTTTCTGTTGCTTTTGTTGTTAACACAACATTTTGGTCAATCCATTCTACAGCCTTCTTCAGGTGTATAATCTGCAAGTAAAGAGAGGTGTCTTTTTTCTACAGAAATAAATGTTGAACAAAAAATAGATCCGATCGGCTGATTTCCGGGAATACCAGTCACAAAATCAATAAGTTCACTGGTTGAAGAATTCTTGGAAAGTAAGTATTTTATTCGTATAAATGTGCACATCATCAACATCATGGCTGTGCTGCATTTCTTCAGGACATGGATGATCATTGCTCTCCATAACTTCCTATCCTTTGAAGCTCTTAGGAAGGTTTGCCTTTACATCACCCTTCCCTTTCGCGCTTATAATTGTTACACTACCCGGTAAATTCAATTCAAATGTTGAGGAGAGGGATTAATATTCCGATTATTGTTCAGATGACATTTCATTCTTCTTGATTTTGTTACCACTATGTGTCAGCCGATCCATTCTTCGGGCTGTATACAGCCTGTATGGAAGGTGTTGATATCCTTTTTTTCGGATTTTGTTTTTCATTCTTTGACAGGTATTTTCTACCTTACTTCTCTTTTTCTCTGTCGCTCTTTTTTTTTTTTTTTTTTTTTTTTTTTGAAAGCCGTGGCACAAAAGAAAAAGAAATTTGGTTAAAAGATAGATGATTAGTTAGCTAATTACTGGGGAGGGGGGACAGACCCTCACATTTCTATAGAGATTTATAGTTGAAAAAATGTTATAAATATGTCATTTTTTGATTATAGCATTTCGGTTGATGTTATTTGACCTTCGTCAGAATAAGTTCTATCAAGTAGTCTTTAGACATTGAGAAATTAATGAAATTAAGAAGAATATTATCACGCATTGATTAACGTTGTAAAATATTATTGATTCTTTCTAGCTTTAAAGATACCAAAAAACAGAAATCTGTTCCGAACAATTAAATACGGATAAAATCCCCTACCTCAGCAATTCATTTTAAAGAGTTGAGCTTTTTACAGTAGATTCTTTAAAAATAGCAAATAGGTTCTTTTGTTGTTGTTATTGTTGTTGCTGTTGTGGTGGTGGTGGTCGTGTGAGTGTTTTATTTGTTTTTTATTTTAATTCATGATACGAAAGTGTCAAACATTTTCTTTGAAATTTAAAAATTTTCCATCAGAAATTTTAATTATGGAGTCTTACTGTATATCACTACACGCAGTTTGGTCAACCTTTGTTTTATCATTAAAATTATAAAATTGTAACCCATAGTTTTGTTTGTATCATAGGTAAGCTATTGACCAGCCGGCTGTACACTTAATATTCAACCCATTTGCATTAAATATTTTTTTTAAAATTTAATTTAAAAGAAGGAGAGGAAAGTAGCGGGTTACCTACCTGACGAATTTGTGTGAATGGGTGGCGGAACGGTAATTGAGAAGATTGGCAAAGGGAGACTAAGAGCTAGAAGGGATAGGAGGTTGTGGAAAGTTATGATCTCCCATGTCTTGAAAATACATGGGTGATCATAACTTTCTTTTATGTGCCATGTCCTGAAAGGACATGGCACATAAAAGATATCAGACGAGCACATGTTATTTTCAATTTAATAAGACGCACACAATTATACTGAAATTAAATAGAGCATGAATAAATATAGCAGCTCGAATTTTGTGATAACGACAACAAAGTTAAATTTCTGAAAAAAAACAAAAACAACACAACGTCTGAAAAACTAAAACAGAAAAGCCAGAGAATGCAGCATCTCAAACATTGTAATAAAGGAAAAAATAAAGATAAGGGAAGTGGTCCAAAACAATCGATAGACAATAATAAAATCATCTAGTTTCAGAGATGCAGATGGAAAGCAAGGCAGATGGTACAGCATCTGAAACATTATGATGAAGACCTAAAAAAAAGACAAGCAAACAGCCCCAAAATAATCAATGTATAAAAGTGGCCAGACTTCGTTTTATAGATTCAAGTAGAAAGAAGGCCAGAGGGTACAGCATCTGAAACATTGGGATAAAACAAAAAAAAAACAAGGAAACAGGTCCAAAAGAATCAATGTATAATGGTAAGAATATCTTGTCACAGAAATTTTGATAGAAAGAAAGCCAGAGGATACAGAATCTGAAACATTGGGATAAAGACAAAAAAGACAAGGAAACTAGTCCTAAAGAACCAATGTATAATAGTAGCAACACATTGTCTTTGAAATTCAGATAGAAAGAATGCCAAAGGGTACAGGATTTTAAACATTGTGATAAAGACAAAAAAAAAGACAAGGAAACTGATCCAAATGCATTTACTATTAGGATATTATAAAAAATAATTTAGATTATTTTAATTCGTTTAAGTATATATGCATCTTTTAATTGTTTACTTCCATAGAAAGAATGTGAACAAAGGCAAAAAGCAGCTGGAATTTTTTTCTCTTTTGAATTCTTTAACGAAAATTTCTATAATTTGCAAAAAGTACCGATGTTCGTGCTTTGTACAGATTTTTTCGCCGATCAATGAAAATCAAACTTAAGCTTGCAGAAAAACGTATAATCCTCACTCATTCTGTTAACTTTGTTAACTTCCCAATTACGAAAATGTCGCCGTAATTAGGTGGAATAAAATAAATAATGGCATGCTGTGACGAATGGAAACAAACAATCAAACAAAAAAAAATGAAAGGTAAGTTCATGAGGCAGGCTTAATTATGGCTAAAAGAACCAGAGTAAATCACCGGGAAACTGAATTAAATTTACGTTCAACCTTGACAACAAAAGCGGCAACAACAGGTGGCCAATAAATCTTTCGCAACTCTAGTGTATATATATATATATATAGTATATATATATATATATATATATATATATATATATATATATATCGTAATTGCATATGCATATGTCTATATGCATCAGTTCTGCGCGACAATGTGCCAAGACATTTCGAATATCTTAATAATCGGTCGCGTGACCTTGACACAACTTTGCAACTAGACATACGGTACATTGCTGTGCATGCGTGAAAAGGAACTTTATCGTAGATGGCAGTGAATGAGAATGTACTGTGTAACTTTCGCACTCACAATAGTGAATAGATTGTTAACAACACGTTAAGAGATATTTTTTTTCTTTTTTTAGGGGTGGGGTGGACAAAACGTCGCATCCCTCAATATCTCTTATCACCCCTCTCACTACAATCCTGATTTAGCTGGTCTGGTTTTCCCCCAAACTCAAATCATTGTTGAAACGTTGTGGACGTGATTAAGGAGAATGCGATAAGACAACTGATGACAAAACAAAAAGACGACTTTGTAGGCTATCTTTATAAGTGGAAAGGATATGCTTTCAAAGGGAGCATATTGAAGCACAATTGTCCTAGATAAGCTACTTTATAATTTTTTGAGAGGTGGGCAATATTAGTTGCTGGGATATTTTCCGGACAGAGCTCCTGAGCATAACACACACATACACACACAACTATTTACTATGTGTTTCCTGACTCTGGCAAAAGATTAAATAAGGGGAAATTGGAGTAGAAAGCTTATGTTATGCTATCTTTCAAGTGGAGAGGACTGTCGGCCTGTCCGTCTATCTGCTTAAAAAATCAACATTCGAATGCTAATGCTAGTAAAAAAAAGTATGCAACATTCATCGGGTCATAAAAACGGGATTTTTTTCTCTTTTGTCGGTTGCCGTGCCAGTTTATTCAGGACATTGGATGGTTAAAGAAAAAAGATTATATATATATATATATATATATATATATATATATACAGTGGGGTGAAATAAATATTCGTACACATGAAAAATTGTATTTTTATAAATGTAAAAGCCTTAACTAAAACAAATTTTGATAAATTTTATGTGTAAAGTTACATCTTATTAAAAAATAGTAATAAACTTAATTAATTCTTATTCTAACAGAAATTAATGCATTTTTTCATTTTAACTGATGAAAAAAGTATTCGTACAAAACAAAAAAAAGGCATATTAACTTAATTTAATACTTTGTGGAATATCCTTTATTGAGTTCAACAGCTACCAGTCTATTCCTGTACGTCTCAAGTAATGATTTGCACACATTGAGTGGTATTTTGTCCCATTCTTCTTGGCATATTGTCTTCAAATTCTTGATATTTGTTGGTGCTCTTTTCCCAATTTGAATTTTCAAATATCGCCATAAATTCTCGATTGGGTTCAAGTCTGGGGACTGACATGGCCATTGCAAGACATCAACGTTACTTTCAGCTAACCATTTCCTTGTAGATCTAGCGATAAGCTTAGGATCATTATCCAGTTGGAAAACCCAATCAGGAGGTAGCCGAAGTCTCTCAGCAGAAAGCATTAAATTGTATTGCAGGATTTTCTGGTATCTTTCGGCATTCATCTTGCCATCTATTATTGATATTCTGCCAACACCTTTTGCAGAAAAACAGCCCTAGATCATGGCACTGCCACCACCAAACTTTACAGTTGGTAACGTGTTCTTTGGTAAGTAGGATTCCCCGTCCTTCCTCCACACATGATTTCGATAATTATGACCAAACAACTCTATTTTAGTTTCATCTGTCCATAGTACTTTTCCCCAAAACGAATATTCTTTATCCTTATGCTCTCTAACGAATTTTAGCCTCGCATCTCTGTGTCGTTTCAAGAGGAGTGGAGTCTTCCTTGCGGTGCGTGATTTCAGACTGTTTTGTGTAGTTCATTACTTATTGTACGCTTGGTTACTTTAATCCCTAATGCACGCAGATGTTCCTGCAGCTCTTCTCGGGTAACATTTGGATTTTGTTGGATCTGGCGTCCTAATATCCTTGCTGATCTTAGAGAAATCTTCCTCGGAGCACCTGTTCGTCTTTAGTTTTCGACGCTGTTACGAGTTTTAAACCTTGCAATGAACGAAGCAATTGTAGTAAAAGGAATATTCAGATTGTTAGAAATCGTTCTGTAAATGTTC